CTGGGGAATTCTGGGAGTTGAAGTCCACACATCTTAAAGTTGCCAAGGTTGAGGAACGCTGGTGTAAACTATGCAAGGCTAGATTTCATCCTGACTTACTGATTAAGCCAGACCCATCTGATAGAAACTAGGTCTCTGTACGCCCAGATGTTTAACGTTTTCTCCCAGAACTTCCAACCAAGGTTCTTTTCCTTAAGAATTAAGGAATTAAGAGTTAGTGCCGTTGAGCCGTTTCTATTTTCTGCTGGTTGCAGAGCTGAAAGGATCCAGGTGCTTCTATTCCGAGGGATTTTCATAGCTACACCCTTATATGGAAAGCCCGTAGCCTGCCAGCATGATCTCACCTTGGAAAAATGTAAATAACTAGCCATACTTAAATGTCCCGAGGCCTGTGGCTTTATTAAAAGGATGAAAAAGACTCTCCCATTTTACGTCTGTGTCTGGGGACGGGGGTGGGCCAGTTTTCCCCACATGGTCACCGAACCAGGAAGGGCTTTGGCAACCAGGATGATGAGAGCACCAGGAATGTGCAGTGAGAGGATGGAACTGAAATGGGAGTGAACTGAAATGCAAATTGAGCCCTTGGAATCCCTGATGGGAAAATACGTCAGACGGTGTGCAAATGGGCCAAATCTTCTTGAGTTGCCCTGTTCCTGGCCACAAATAGTTGACATTCAAGGTTGCTTCTTTGATAGTTGTTCTAAAACCCCTGGAGGTGTGGCTGAGCCTTCCGGTTGTCCTCTGAGCTCCTCATCTGCTGTCCAACCTCTGCGTTCCTGCGCTTCTGATTGCAGACCTCAACCCTCTTCTCTCCTTCCTTCTTGTTATATCATGGCAGCAAGGCCAGGATGCTCCCTGGCGTGAGCAGGTTGAACTAGTCCAACCTGTTCTCCTGAGCAACTACCAGCTGCATGAGATTGACGTACTTTAGCCTTCAACTAGACCTCGTTTTCCATATTTGTGGACCAGACAGGCAGAAGACGAAATGGATGAAAACCCTGCAGCTCTTAGGTTAGGGTTCCTGTCCCAAATGAGGTTGCTTGACTTAGGCTCAGATTTAGAGCCTGCAGCAATATTCAAGTTCACGATGGGTAATCTTTGGGGCTCTTCCTTCCCTGAAGAGCTGAGCTGGAGAATTTTTACCGAAGACTGACTTTGTCTTCAGATTGACTCACCTGAACCAGCCACAATGAACCAGATGTCTGGTTCATGCCTTGTGGGAGGGATGCGCCTGGTGTTCTGGGCATTGTGTGCTAGTATATTATACTGGGGGGGAGGGATAATATGGCCCTTTCTCAAGGCTGCTGTAACTTTTACTTCGACTGTGTATGTTAAATGCTGTGAAAGTTTAGAATCCATTGTATAAATGTTCTCACAGCAATCCCTCAGGGTTAGTCTCAGCTTGAGGACCAGAACGAGCAGGAAGAGAATTGACAGAGGTCCTCTACTTATCTCGGAGCTGAGATCTTGATTAGTGTATGTAGTAACTCCTATAGAGCTGTAAATATTTGTATTTTATTAACATACCTACTGCAGATGGGCTAACAGCTGTAGGCATTCAGCTTCCTGAGAATCTCTGTTCCCATTATTTGAGGAACAACGTCCATATGTGTCAGAGGGTGAGAAAAAGGGACAGGAACTTCTCCCTCTCTCTCTCTCTCTCTCTCACACACACACACACACACGCACACACGCACGCACACGCACACACACACCATTTTTCTCTCTTTACAGTGATATTTAATGTACACAGTGATCTTAGCTTACATGCTCAATTCTAGGGAGGAGAACAGAACAGAAAGAAGGAAAAATAGCTTATCTGGGATTCCAGCATCTTTGTCACCTCTGCTCTGTCTTTTCTGAACATCCCGGGCCTTTCCCACCAGCCACCTTGCTCTTCCCAGCACGCACAGTGTCTCTAGTCCATGTCATGCACTGACATCTCCAGCAATATCCAGGCACCACCTCCTCCACGATTTCATGCTTCTGTCCTTTTTTATGTTTGCAGCTGGAAAGCAGGTGTTTTAATCAGGCGCAAAGCTTCTCAGTGGTTATGGGACCCTGAGTCTGATTTTGCCTGGGGGAGGGGGAGGAGGGAAGCATTGAGACCATTGCATCACCCCAAGGCCATCAGGGCAACTCAGCCTGCCACAATATGCGATTGCAAAAACTCGCTTTCTGCAAGAAATGTACGGGAAGTGAATAAAGCTAGGGGTGGGTGTATGGCTTTTGCAGTTTGGGGTCTTTATCTCTTGCTGAGCAGATAAAAGATCCGTGCAGGATTAGGAGGAGTGAAGTCAGACATACCTGTGCACGCCGGTTGGGGAGCTCCAGTGTAAGTGTCAGCCCTTTGAGATAGGCCTGGTCAGTAAACAGGCTGTGCAAGGATTCCGGGAATGCTAGTTTATTGTAAAAGGGTATAGAAACAGAATCTTGAAAGCCTGCCAGATTCCCTCTGCTCTCTCTAATACCAAACAGAATCAAGTCGGGGTTGTTCGGAGTTTCTTTCTCATGCTTTTCCCTTTCCCAGGACCAAGTCCTCATTTCTCCTCCCTTAAGGGTTGGCTCCTTCATTCCTCGATCATGGTTATCTCTGCGTTCCTCTAAAGTAAGGCAGGAGTTAGCGTGAACATCCCGCACCAGTCCATCAGGGCCAAAAAGTTGTTTCACCCTAGAGCAGCACCCCTTGGCCTTTCCAAGGCAGGAAATGGCACCTCTTTTTTTCAGCTTTTGTAACGGCTTCCAGGCGCTTTCGCTCACGTGGGTGACAAGCCAGTCCTTGTTTCTCTTTCTCTGGCCTCCAGCGGCCAGTTCGCGATCGTGCGGAAGTGCCGAGAGAAGAAAACCGGCTTGGAGTACGCGGCCAAGTTCATCAAGAAGCGGCGACTGTCCTCGAGCCGCCGAGGGGTGAGCCGCGAGGAGATCCAGCGGGAAGTGAACATCCTGCGCGAGATCCAGCACCCCAACATCATCACCCTTCATGACATTTTTGAGAACAAGACGGACGTGGTGCTGATTCTAGAACTGGTGTCGGGTGGCGAGCTGTTCGACTTCCTGGCTGAGAAGGAATCCCTGACAGAGGAGGAGGCCACCCAGTTCCTCAAGCAAATCCTGGATGGGGTCTATTACCTCCATTCCAAACGCATCGCCCATTTCGACCTTAAGGTGAGATTGTTGGATTAATATGTCCACGGTAGTAATAATTATAAATAATTAAACTACTAGAAAACAGGAGCTTCATAGCAAAATCAACAGTGTCATCTAACCCCGAGATATCTGGAGGACCTCAGTCTTTTTCTGGAAAGAGGTCAACAAAGGGACAGATCTAAATTCTGGGGAAGAACTCTTCCATAGAACCGGGACCATGATGAGAATTTGCACTGGGAAATGGGGGAGAATGAGATTCACATTTATTTGCAACAGGCTGGTCTAGGCAGAGCCCACAAGTGTGGGCTGGAACAAAATCAGAGCAAGCCATTTTTTGGTTGCAAAGTTCAAACACCGTTGTGCCTAGTGTTGCTTTTAACTACTTATTTGGAATACCATTGTTATTCATTCATTCTTGGAAGTTGATGGTCATAAAACATAGAATGCATGGGTGCAAAATACAGTAGAAAACAATCCATTGCGTAATTGTTTCAAATGTAAAATTAAAACAATAATGATATAACAAAAGCGCAGTACAAATCCTGGATTCCTTTATCAGATTCCCCTGTTTACATCTTCACTGCAATTAAGTCCTTTCCAAGATAAGATATACCGTGTTAAAAAAAAGGCTGTGTATGAAGAAGAAGACTAAGCTGTTGCCCAAGATTAATAGCTCATGTTGGTCTGGTCTGGTTTGAGTCTCTCTTTATTTTGGGGCCTTTCACAGCCATCGCTGGCATGTTTTCAGTTTTTCTCTGACAATTTCCAGGTCGTTTGCAGTAGAGAATTGTACTTCAGCTGGTTCAGTTGTGCCGACGCCTTGGAACTTTTGAGAATTTTCATTAGAGAGGGTAAAAGAGGGATTGACACTGTTGGTTTTTGCAAAGCTAGCTGGAAAAGTTGTTGGCAAAAAAGGGGTAGGCACGTCGCCAATTTTGCACAAGAATTCTCAAGTGGAGATTTAACTTCAGATCTTCAGTTGCTGGATAGACTCATGCATCTCCTTTCTTTCTCCCCTGTTTAGCCTGAAAATATCATGCTCCTTGACAAAAATGTCCCTAGTCCCCGAATCAAACTGATTGATTTTGGCATTGCTCACAAGATTGAGACAGGAAATGAATTTAAAAACATCTTCGGCACTCCAGAATTTGTAGGTATGTGCAGAGAAGGGAGGGTTGCCAAAGGACAGGGTTGGGATAGAAAGTTCTGAAGTCTCCAGCTCAGGAGAAAGATGTTCTTACATGCGGAGGATATATGGAGCAATTTTTATAGGTGAAAGAAAATAATTAATAAAATATTTTTCTCTTTTTTCCTTCCTTCCTTCCTTCCTTCCTCCCTCCCTCCCATCCATCCATCCATCCATCCATCCATCCATCCATCCATCCATCCATCCATCC